ATATTATTAAATAAATAATATAATAATATAATAATTTATTTTCTTTGTAAGACTATATATATCAAATTAATTTTTGTTTGGCTTTACTTGAATAGAATATATTCAACCATTGGATTTTGTTGGTTTTGTTCTGCGCTGCGTTATGTTTGGCTTATATTTGCCTTGGGGAAATAACATTTTTTTTTCTTTTTAAATTTCTTAAATTGAGGAAAATTTTATTCTACGTGAGATGGAGTCAATGACAACTGGAACCCATGGGTTGGATCCACTAAAAAGGAGAAAAAAAGAGCAAGTGTTATTCTATGAGTTAGGTTTAAGATTTGTTAGAACAAAGATTCAAATAAATTAATTTGTTTAAACATAGATATCAATATAAGAGATGTTTTTTTTTAAAAAAACTGTTTAGGAATGAATTAGTTTTAATACATACAAAAGCTAACTAAATTTTACATTCTATATAACTAATAGTTAATAATTGATAGTTGAAATTTAATGATTGATAATTATCATTAATTATAATTCAAAATATTTAATCCATTTTTTTAAAAGCCTAATTTATTTAATTAAAATAAACAACTGATAATTATTTGTAGATCTTCAAACTAAACACCTCTAAAATAGAAAAATATTTTATATAATTTATGATTGACTATTAAATCCATTCCTTTAGTAGTAACTTTGTTAAAAATACACAAATAATATTACGACAAAGTAAATATGCAGGAAACTCAATTTCTTTGTCCATTTCATGTTCAATTGAATGGATGTTCCTACCTTTATGGATATTTGATAGAGCTTATTAAGCAAGTGTTGTTTTTAGAATTGAAATATTATTAAAAGGAAACTTGAATTTAGCTTTTAAAAGTGACTAACAAGAAAGTTAAAGTTAGAAATTTGAAGGAAGTTCTAGTCTTAATTCTTGCCCTATCTAATCCCACATTGCTTAAGGAATAAAAGTGTTGAAGAGTGTAGACTTATAAAAGCCTTGTTAAGTTAAGTTTGTTATCAATGGAAGAATATAATTTCATAAAGCTTACTCATAACTATAGTGAAATTAATTTACAAAATAAAAAGTAGAAGTTGAATATTGGAGGAAATTAAAATAGAAGGAAACTAAGCAGCAAGTTTGAAGAGGAATAGTTTTTATTAAATTTCTCTTAATTAATCTTGTTTTCTTTCTTTCTTCGGCCTCTTAATAAATCTTAATTTGTATTTGAGATGGTAAAATAATTTGCTCATTTATAAATTTATGTATTTTAATATATTTAAAATTTTTGTAATATGATTAATATATTGAAGAATCAACCCTTAGATTAATTGTTTTAACCTTTTTTCTTGTTACAAAGGGATCGTGATGTCTCGAACCCTTGGTTCACTAAAGCTCACCATCAACAGTAGAAGTTATTATCATCAATAGCCACCTTACAAGAATTTCAGGAAGCACTTTTAAATTTATCTCATCATTTATAAAACTTAAACTCAAAATTTTATTTATAAACCTTGAACTCGAAATTTTATTTAAGTAGAAATGAACTCCTCCCATTCAAATCAATAAATCATTGGTATCAAATATGTATCCAATCAATACACAATTACATGTGAATTTAACGTTTTTCAATTCAAATTACATTTACTAAAATTACTAAATTACCATAATATATGGAAGAGTATCATTAAGGATATTTTAGTAATTTTAGTTATAATTTTTAGTGGTGCTTTTTATATCAAAAAGTTTTTTTAGGTTAGACTACACATTTAGACACTAAAATTAATAAAACATTCTTAATGAAACTCTTCTATATATACATTTATGGTTAAATGTCAATTTTGGTCCCTCAACTTTAAGCTTTTACATAATTTTCATTATTCAATTTTTTTATGCACTTTTTTGTCCCTTAACTATGAAAAATACATTTTTTTAGTCTTTCAATTAGTTAATTTATTAAGTTTGTCTAAATATGTACTTTTTTAGTTTCTCAAATTTAAATTGAAGGAGAAAAATATGCATATATTAAAAGTTGAGGAACTGAAAATATGCAGATTTAAATAGATTTAATAGTTTAACTAATGAAAGAATAGAAAAAGTGCATTTTCGTAGTTAAGGGACCAAAAAAATGCATAAAAAAAGTTGAGAGATGTAAATTATGTAAAACTTTAAAGTTGAGAGATTAAGATTGACATTTAATCTACATTATTAATGATAATTGGCAAAAATGTGATACAAGGACCCAAACTTGCACAAAATTTGCAATTTCAGACCCAAACTTCAATTACACTCAATTAAGGCCTCAAACTACATAAAATTCTCAAATAAGGTCCCAATTTGATAAAATATTCTCTTGATGGATGGAATATTCTCTTGCAACAAACAATCTGTCACTCTCTTAGCCAATTGGATTGCCATGTGAAAAAACATGCTAACTTGTTACTACCATGTGGATGCCACATAGATGCCACATGTGAGTCCCAATTGATTTTGAGGGAAATCAAGCTAAGAAGAATCCATGCAACACCACGTGGCAATGACACATCAGCATGCTTTCCATATTGGCAATCCGATTGGCTAAATAGTTAACGTCATCCAAGACATTTGATGGTAAAAGAATATTTCATCCAATTGGGACCTTTGAGAATTTCATTTAGTTCGAGATCTAAATTGAGTGCAATTGAAGTTTAGGTCTAGAATTGAGAATTTTATACAAGTTGAGGACCTTTTTCCATATTTTTGCCATGATAATTTAGTGATTTCAATATATCACTTTTAATGTGTAGTTCATACTAAAAAACATAAATTTTTATTTATATTTCAAGATAAACGCACCCATATCACACAACAAATACAACAACTTCCATATTGTCACATAACAGCCTGATAAACTTAAAAATATTAAATTTTTTTAAATTTTTTAATAATTAAGCTCAGCCTGTCCTATTTAAAACTTAAATGAGTTGATAATGAGTCTATATCTTTCACTTGCAACTCAAAATAACTTAACCCAATAATTTTGAGATAACCAAATTTAAACCCGTCTACCATTTGCGAGGTATCATTGACCTGAGGGCCTTGGCATGTATCTTAATGCCGATGCGATGAGGATTCCATTTCTCTGGGACTGATTGTTATTTTGCTGTACTGTTTTATTTAATGCATCTCCAATTCACCAAAGAGAGAGAGAGAGAGAGAGAAAAAAAAAACATTTGCGAGTTATACTACAAATGCACTTAGGTACAGATTATCGAAAAACAAAAACATAATACTAAAACTACAAATGCATAGGTATACTAATTCAATTTTGAATTTCTCAAGAAAAAAAAAAATCATAGGCGGCTAAACAAATGGTGCATTTTGTTAATTAAGCCTTTTTTTTTTCAATTGGCCGAACCAATGTTTATTGTTAGTCTCGCAAAATATTCATTTTTAACCCTGCTTCTTAATTTTTTGTAATGAGTATCTGATGTTTGGGCCGACCTAAATCATCTCCTAAATAAAACTATAAAAAACAATTATCCTTAATTTCTTCCCAGCAAATTAATCACCCCAAGAAAACAAAAAGAAGAATAATGATCAAATTTCAGTTCTTTCTCATCTATTTCAGGCCGTCGTGTTCTTCCTTCAACAACACTGTGGTGAGCAAATTTTCATGTCTGTTGTCTTATATCATGTTGGATATTGTTTTGGGATTTTACATTGTCATACAAGTAATCAATTTTTCTTCGTAATTCAGATGGAAAAGTGATAATGGAATACATAGGAGCCACCGGCCTTCCCGTGACCTTTGATGCAGTCCCAATCGAAGACGGTATCGATTTCTGGATATCCAATGCATTTTTGTCTCTGAAATCCATTGTCGAAACCTACCATCTTGACGGAGTTGACATACATTACGAATCATTCCGGCGACACAACGAGAGCTTCGCGTATTGCATTGGTGAGCTCATCACCCCCCACAAGAACCAAAGCGTCATTTCTGTTGCCACGATATATAGCTCCATTTTACGGCACTTCTGTTCCACACATTAGCCTATTCGATGACTATAGTCAGGTTATCGACTATGTCAATTACCAGTTCTATACCGATAAGGTGAAGAACCCCAGAGATAAAATGGAAAGATTTAGGCTTCGTGCCATGCAGTTTGATGCGGATAAGTTGTTGCCGAGCTATAAAATGAATGGAAGAGGGATACAAGGGGATGCATTTTTTGATGCATTGAGTCTGGAGGAGGAAAATGGGTTCGAAGTTTATGGGGTTATGATTTTCTCTGCCGATGCTTCTTCCTCTAATGACTATTATTACGAGAGGAAATCTCAAGCTTTCTTGCTCAATTCTACTAGATCAATGGGATGTGAAGTGTTCAGCAATTATTAATTTATTCCAAATAATTGTTTGAGATGTCGCTCTTAATTACAAATAAATAGATAAAGGAGGTATGTACTGTGATTTTTTTTTTTTTTTTCATGCTTAAGTCGTTCTACTCTTGTTTTAAACCGTAACATTCCGAATGTTTACAAGCCAAAGTGGTTAACC